TAAATTTTTAAATCACAAAGAAATCTCATTGAGGACTAATTATTTCTAAAAAATAAGAGAAAATTATTTGTCATCCTAAATGCTATGGAGGAAAGAAGCAATTCTTTTTTTTATTCACTGTAAAAATAATGAGCTCCATTTTTCTATAAATCTAGATTTCGTCCATAGGAGGGAAGACATATGATATTTATTTTTCTGAACCTGAATTATTTCATTTAACCTAGTGGTCTATAGTTAAATCTATTTTCTCTAGAAATGATATAATGCTAGTTTTCTATAAGACTGAGTAATACTCCACTGTGTATAGCTATTGCATTTTTATCCATTCATCTATCCATTCATCTTTTGGTAGACATCTGGATTGATTCCATGAGTTAATTATTGCTAACAGTGTCACAATAAACAGAGGTATGCATGAATCTTTTGAGTATACACCAAGGAATTCTCTATCATAATACAGTGATAGTTTAAAGCTCTGTGTGTGTGTTTCTGTGTGTGTGTGCTGGTGCTAAGTCCTGAACCCTGGACCTGGGTATTGTTCATGAGCTTTTTTGCTGAAGGTTAGTACTCTACCACTTAGGCCACAACTCCACTTCCAGCTATTATTTTAATTTTTTATTGTTATTATAAAAGTAATGTATGGTTATGGTTACATAACTCAGGTAAACAGTACATTTCTTTTTGGACAATGTCACTCCTCCCCTTACTCTCTCTCCCAGTTTTTTCCTCTGTTACCCAACCATAAGTTGCATAGTTCATTTAAAACAGTGTCTAGTGATTACCACTGCTGCATTTGTTCACCCTTTGTCACTCCATTTCTTAAACTCCTCTCTTGCCCACCCAGAGAAGTGAACAAACAAGATAAAATAAAACAATAACAAAAGAAAAACCTCTTGCTTTCATTTTATAGAGATCATTTCAATTAGGCATTGTGCATTGGTGATCCTCCCCTAAGAGTGTCCTCCTTTTGTCTATTGGTGTATGAATGCCCAGAGTCCTGAAAATTTTTATCATGTCTCAGTGTATTTTAGATCTAGCTTCTTCAGGCTTCCAGCTTTTTTCTGGTTAAATAAAGAGAAGAGTTTCGTATACTTTCCTACCCTGGCTGACTTTAAGCTGAAATCTTTAGATCTGAGCCTGCTGAGTAGCTAGAATTGCAGGTGTGAGTCATGGGCATCTGATTCAAAGTTGTTGTTTTTGTTTCTGTTTTTTTTCTAAAGAAGAATATTCCTCATTAATTTCTATACTGGCTGAACTAATTTGCATTCACAACAATTTTGTATGTAAGTGTTTTCTTTCCACTGCATCCTTGACAACATTGACTGGTGTGTGTGTGTGTGTGTGTGTGTGTGTGTGTGTGTGTGTGTGTGTGTATGTGTGTGTGTATGTGTGTGTATGTGTGTGTGTTACTTTAATGGTAGCCATTCTGACTGGGGTGATATATAATCTCCATGTAGTTTTGATTTGCATTGTCATTGTAGTGAAGGGTATTATGATACATGTATGCCCACACATCCTGGGATTATTCACAGGATCCATTGTATAGAATCAGCACATATACTCATTAAGAGGTAACTGAATAAAGAAACTAAACTGTAAAATTATATATGTGCACACACACACACACACACACACACACACACATACACACACACACACACACACACACAATATGGAGACTTATTCAGCCAAGAAAAGAATCATTTGGATGAAAATAGATGCATCCAGAGATCATCATGTTAAGTCAAATAATTAAAAAAGGCAAAGATGATGTATGTTCTCTTATCTGGGAAGTCACATTTAAAAACATGTAAACTTAGAAAGCAGACTACTTTTTGAAGATGAAACGGTGAATAGAGAGATATTAAAAGTGAGTAATGGGGTAGTAAATATGTTTAAAATGCCTAATTACCTGGTGACTTTACCATATGGGTGGCGTTGGGAAAGATGAGGGAGATTGAGGGAAGGGACGACATTGACAAAGATAAATTGTCCTTATAATCTCACATGGTGAATAGAAACCCTTTTGTACAACTACTGAAAATAAAATAAGGCAACAAATATACACAATCAAATAATTTTCCAATGCATAATGTGCATGTATATGAATGGCATAATTAAACCCATTACTTTGTAAAATGAATGCAAAATAAGAAAATAAAAAAAGCATATTTTTCCATCTCCATGCATTTGTATAGATCATGGTTAATAATTTCTCAAATTTTGTAGCTCTTTTTTTTTTATTATGAAAATACCATACAGAGGGGTAACAATTACATGGGCAAGGTAATGAGTAAATTTCTTATCAAGCATTGTTGCCTCCTCCTTTGTTTTCCCTTCCCATCCCTTCCCATCTCCCCACAACACTGCTCCCCGCCGCCACGCCAAAGTTGTAAAGTTGGTTTTTCAACATAACGTCTTGTACATCTCATTGTTGCAATGGGTCCACCTGTATCCCTATTTAAACAATTTGTTTTTTCCCTTCCCATCTACAAATTATACCAACATCAAATACAGTGAAAAATTCTTTTCTTTATTTTAGATCTGAGTCAGTACCTGATCATTTTACTCAACGACTAGCACTCTATCAACTAAGCCATGCCCCAAACCCCTTGTATTTCTTATTTTCATTTTTGTTTTTGTTTTTTGCTTGGTCGTGGGCTTGACCTCTGGACTTGGGCGCTGTCCCTGCACTATTCAGCTCAAGGCTAATGCTCTACCACTTGAGCCACAGCACCACTTCCAGTTTTCTGGTGGTTAATTGGAGATAAAAGTCTCACAAACTTTCCTGTCTGGGCTGGCTTTGAACTGTGATCCTCAGATCTCAGTCTCCTGAGTAGCTAGGATTAAAGGTGTGAGCTATTGATGCCCGGTTTCCCCTTGTATTTCTTAAGTGTTCTTTTTTGTTGTTGTTCTAGAACGTGTTCTATTATGGAGAATGCTTCTGAGAAATACGTGTATTCCCAAGCTGTTGGTTGGAATACTCAGAAAGTCCTAGGCGTATCTGTCATGTCCTTCTCTTTGCATAATATCTCTTTCCAGGAAGTTTCCTACTTTCTCATACCTCATTATTTTTAAAGTTATAGTTTTATGATATTTAAGTAGTTGTACAAAGAGGCTACCAGTCAGCATGTCAGTTTATAAGGACAATGCCTCTTGATTGGTGTCACCCCTTTCATCATTTTCCTCCATCCCTCTCAGCTCAGCTTCTCTTTTCAGTTTTTTCTGGTTTCATTGGATATGACTTAAATATCTTGACTGCATTCTTGCAACTTTCCTCTCTTCAGTCCTCTACCTTTCTCCTCTTGACCTCACCCCTTTTCACATCTCTCAGGTACCATTGTCCTGCTATTATTTCATTGGACTGTAAATTAATTTTTTAATGAATTAGACCACTCAAATGCTCCTTGTCAAATACCATCCTTTGGTACATATATTTGCATACACTTGCTTATGACCCTACTTGTTTTTAATTACATAATTATAACTTAGATCTAGCCTCCACATATGAGAAAGAACGGGTATCCTTTGGCTCTCTGGGTCTGACTTCTTTCATTTAACATACTTTTATCCAGGTCTATCTATGTCTTTTCAAAATGAAGTTATCATTTTTCCTAATAGATGGGTAAAATTTTCTGTGTCTTTATACCACATCTTCTTGCTCCATTCATCCATTGAGGGACATCTAGTCTGATTCCATGCTTTAGCTATCATGAATAGTGCAGCCATGAACATGGTTGTACAAGTGTTTTAACTGTAATCTTTTGTATTGTAATCTTTTGGATAAATGCCCAAGAGTGGTATTATTGCTGGATCATAGTTTAGTTTTTTCTGAATTTTCAATTGCTTTCCAGAGTGATTGCACCAGTTTACATTTCTGCCAATAGTGTATTAGGGTTCTTTATTCTTCACATTCATGCCAGTATCTGTTGCTGTTTGTATTCTTGATGATGGCCATTCTTTCAAAGGCAGATTGAGAGATCTTGATCTCCAGCTTGAGAGATCCTGATCTCCAATTAACCAGCAAAAAAAGTTGGAAGTGGTGCTGTAGCTCAAGTGATAAAGTACCAGCTTGGACAGAGAAGTTAAAGGGCAGTACCCAGGCCCTGAGTTTAAGCCCCAGTACTGACACATTGGCGCGCACACACTCACACACACACACACACAAATACACACACGATGCCTATGAACAACAAACAGGTGTATTCAAAAAAGTTCAGAATCACAAATTACTAGGGAAACTTAAATCACCAAACACTAATCTCACCTTAAATGGCATTGGTCAGAAATATATTTCCTGATGAGAAAGTTTGGGGGAAAAGGCCCATTAGATGGTGTTAATGGGGATGTTGAGTAACTATAAGAAGTGCGGAGAACGATAAGTTGGTATCTCAAAAAAATAAATAAAAACCAGAGCATAGAAGTATCATATGACTCAAAAACTTCCCTACTAAGATTAGCTACGAAGAAAATAAAATCAACATATCAGGTTACAACCACACTTTAATTTTGTTAGTACTCTCAATAACCCCAATGTTGAAACAATGTACAGGTTTGGGAGAGAAAGAACAGATGAAAAGTGTAGGATCATCTCCAGGGTTTTGAGAACAAGGAAATCCTGACCTTTACAATAAATATAGAACTAATATGGATGGAAATAAAAAAAAACAAGGAGGCTGAGAACTAAGGATTGTGGCTCAAAGCCAGCTTGAACAAACATTCTGTGAGACTCTTATCTCCAATTAACAAGCATAAAGTCAGAAATGGAAATGTGGCTTGAATGGTAGAGTGTCAACCTTGAGTGACGAAGCTAAGGGAGAGCAGTGACGCTCTGAGTTCAAGCCCCACTGCTGGGAAAAACAAACATGTGAACAAACAAAGAAACAAACAAACAAAAAGCCATGAGGGTCAGTAATTAAGGACACCAAACTACATAATATGAGGAATGAGTAAAATTTAAAATCTAGATGTCTAATGTTGTTGACTTTTCCCATCTCTATTCAAATGGAAGAAGATGGAAATGTTTTTCTTCTGTAGAGACTCCACAGGGTACTTTGAATGTCCTTGTTTCTCAGGCTGTAGATGAAGGGGTTTCGGAGAGGAGTGACCACTGTGCACATCACTGAGGCTACTGTGCTCTCTCTGGGGAAAGATGCAACATCTGAGAAAAGGTACACCCCCATCCCAGTTCCATAAAATAAGCAAACCACTGATAGGTGAGAACCACAAGTAGAGAAGGCTTTGTGCCACCCAGCTGGGATTGACATTTGCAGAATAGAAGAGACAATTTCATAGTAAGACCAGATGATCCCCAAGATAGGAAAAAAGGCAAATACAGTGCTGGTGAAATACATGACAACATCATGAGTTAATGTGTCAGAACAACACAAACTGAGGAGCTGAGCAGGGTTATGGAAGAAACTTGCAATGTCAAAGTCCTTGAAGGAAGGGAACTTGAAGAAAATGAAAAGGTGCAACTGTGAGTCCTGAAGGCTAACCACAAAAGATACTGAAACTAAGAATGCACAGACATGGGGATTCATGATGACTGTGTATTTCAGGGGGAGACAAATGGCCACATACCGGTCATAAGCCATAATAGTCAGAAGCATGTCACCCATGCATGCAAAAATGGCAAAAAAAAAAAAAAAAAGGACAACTGTCTGAGGCAGCCTGTGCAAGAGATGGCTCTGTGGTGAGTCTGGATGTTCACCAGCATCTTGAGGATGGTGGTGGAGGTGAAGCCAATGTCAGCCAAGGAGATGATGGAGAGGAAGAAGTATATGGGGGTGTGGAGGTTGGGGTCAGAGGTGATAGCCAGGATGATGAGCAGATTTCCAAGCATGGAGACCAGGTACAGGAAAGGGAACAGACCAAAAAGGATGGGCTGTAGGTCTGGGTCCTCCGAAAGATCCAGGAGATGGAATTTAGTGACACATGTTAGGATTTGTGTTTCTCTATGGCTTGGACAACTGTTTAAATGGAGAACAAAAGTTTGAAAAAAACAAATAAAATAGCATGGAGCAGGTCTCTATAATTTTGGGCTTTGTTTGTAAAAAAAATTATCTTTAATTGCTTGTACAAAAATGTTTCAATTTTCTTTTTTTTTGGGGGGGGGGGGTTCCGGTCATGGGGCCTGAACTCTGGGCCTAGGGCTGTACCTCAGCTCTTCAGCTCAAGGCTAGTGCTCTACCCCTTGAGCCACAGCGCCACTTTCGGCTTTTTTTCTTTTTGCTTATTTGGTACTGGGGAATCGAACTCAGGGCCTCATGCATGCAAGGCAAGCACTCTACCACCGAGCCACCTTCCCAGCCCAATGTTCAATTTTCTATATGCTGGTTGGCTCATACCAGTAATCCTAGTATGCAGAAGGTTGAGATCTGAGGATCAAGGTTCTAAATCAGTCTGGGCTGGAAAGTCTCTGAGACTTATTTCCAATGAACCAACCAAAAAAAAAAACCCTGAAGTCGAGGTTTAGCTCAAGTTGTAGAGAGCTAACCGTATGCTAAAAGTGTAAGGGAGAGTCCTGAGTTCTAGCCCTAATATTGCACAAAAAATAGGCAAGAATTAGTTTTGTCTGTTTTGTTGGGACTAATTTGTATGAAAAAACTAAATCTTACTAATTATCATCAGGTACAACCAGCTCTTTTCTCTTCTCCATTTCAGTCTGTATTCTATAATGGGCTATTCATTACAAACCACTAATAATCTTCATGTTTTTATTAATGTAAAAATTATTTAACCTAGAGAACTTTAGCCATAAAGAGTATCACCAAACATACTTTTGATTTTCATTGTCATGGGTGACAAACTCATGGTCCTTTGCTCAGTGATTGCTTAGCTGGCATTTAACCTCTTGAGCCTTCCCTTCAGCCTGTCTTTGGTTTATTTTGGAGATGGAATCTCATAGACTTTCCTGTTAGGGCTGACTTTGAACCATCATCCTTTGGATCTCAAACTCCTGAGCAGCTAGGATTATAGGTATGAGTCATCAGTACCTGGCTCTAAAATGCATTTTGAGTGTCAACATTCTTGTGCCTGTTTAGTAGGTTCTGATTCCTGTCATTCTTCATTGACACATCAACTACAATTCTCTTTACAGTTACCAGCAATTGAGAGGTTCCTTATTTTGTCAGCTAGACCTTTGTATTAGTTAGAGAAAAAAATGGCTGAAATGAATAATCAGAAATAATGTAAATATTCTGACAAATTCCAAATCTACTTTACAGACAAGAACTCTGTGTGTGTGTGTGTGTGTGTGTGTGTGTGTTTGTGTGTGTGTGTGTGTGTGTGTGTGTGTGCATGTGTGCTGGTATTGAGGGCTTGAACTCGGAGCCTGGGCAGATTCTTTTACTCCAGGCTAACACTGTACCACCTGTATAGTTGTTCCACTTCTGGCTTTTTGGTGGTTCTTTGAAGATAAGAGTCTCATGGACTTCCATTCCCAGGCTGAGTTTTAATCCCAATCCTCATAATGTCAGCCCTCTGAGTAGCAAGGATACAAGTCTGAGCCACTGGTGTCTAGCTCAGACAAGTAAATTTTAAGAATTGTAGCATGGCCTAGAAAGAGGAAACATAACCCAGTAAATTCCATCATGAAGGGCTATTCAAGGCTTCCTAAATCACAGGTGCTGAGTGCTGTGCTTTATTTTTAGTTTCTGGGTTTTTTTTCAAACGTGATCAATTATTTATTATACATGCATTTAATGATAGACTGTAATTATTTAGAAATACTAACTCAATCCAATAAACAATGAGTGAAGTCAATCCTGTCACATAAATGCAGTAAGTTAGAACCACTCTTGTCCATGTCCCTCTCAGGGAAGAGATTGAGTAAGTACTCACTTATTCTTCCAAGGGCAGGTAGAAAGTGAGGCAGACTAGCTGAGTGGGGAAGGATTGTCAGCTTTAAATTTAAACAGTGAAAGTCACTGAGAGAGTAACTTACTCCATAAAACATACTTTCCAGGTAAGAAATGACAATATACAATCTTCCTGTATGAATGAATAATATTAAGAGCTAACAATCATCCAGTAAAAACTCTGGAACACACCATCTTGCAACAATACATGATTGCACTCAAAGCACTTCTATAACACAGGTGGCCTCACTCCTCTCAAGTCATGATGCCCAGTGGTTAAGTGTTCCAAGATTGAAGAGTTGGGTATATGGCAAAAGTGAGCTTCGAACTCAAACAATCTGGTGCTCAAGATCATGCTGTGAGCTCTGTGTTTTAAGCAGTTTACTCACACATTCCCATAGCCTTCCTCTAATTATCAAGGCCCACATTGTTTTTCTTTCACAGCACACACAGGAGTACATTATTTTTTCTTCATCTTTACTTGGCTGCTAGTTAAAATGAGCATGGAGTCATTAGGCAGTGGGGAAGGTGGCTCAGTGGTACAGTGCTTGCCTTGCATGCATGAGGCCCTGGGTTTGATTCTTCAACACCATATAAGCAGAAAAAGCCAGAAGTGGTGCTGTGGCTCAAGTGGTAGAAAACTTGCCTTCAGCTGAAGAGCTCAGGGACCATGCCCAGGCCCAGAGTTCAAGCCCTACAACCGACAAAAAAAAATACGCTTGGAGTGAGTGTCTCCATCTTTCCAACATGCCTGAATTGGTCTATTGGAAACTGAAGACTTGGGCAAGAAAAGCTTCCATCTGAACAAGATTTCTCATACCCTCACCACAACCACAAACACACAATCACAGTCTTCCTAACTGAAAGCTTCCTATATCGCTACGCAACTTGTCTTGTTATTCCCATGATGAGAAAACACTGCTCCTGCTGGGTCCTCCATCTGTCCATGGTCCCCCATCCCCAGTACTTACTGGGTGAGGTTTCTTCATTGCTGTGACATGGCCAAGGCCTCTGATGGAAAGCAGTCTTCTCTCTCCTTCTCTGTCTCTGTCTCTGATATACTTAGTAGCAGTGTCAGAGAAGATCTTCCTGGTGGAAGAAAAGCACAGGGAGAGCACAAACATGAGTGGAGTGCATTACCCAACCAGAAGACTGGGAACATAATTTGGTTATTGACGACTATTAGAGGAGTTTACAAGATTAACACCCAGAGCTCATAATTAGCTTGATTGGTCCATTATCATCCCAGTCTCTTATGACTTCTGAGAATTACTAAGGAAAGGAAAAGATGATGTGAGTGTCCTCTAAAGTTTTCAAGTCTCTTCCTCTGTGGCAGAAGGCTCTGGAGCCATTACTTGATTTGCTTCACATATTTAAAATTCTCATCGGTGCTTAAAAAGTTATCTTCCAGTAGTTATATACAGGGATTTCAATTCAATTTGTCTATTTCTGAGTACAATGCATCATCTCAAGGAATGTCCCTCCTTCTATCATTTCTTGACTCTGTCTCTGTCTATTCTATCCATGTCTGCAAGTTATCCACTTCATGTTCACAAATGCAGATTGAACATTACCACTGAACACTGGGTATTTTGGGAAAATACATATAAGCAATTTCATACTTCTTATGTGCACAGTTCTGAAGTATAGATGACATAAATATCATTGCCCATGATCCCCAGAATTTATTCAACTTTCCAAACTTTAAATTTGCACTCATTTCCAAAACTCCCAATTCTTCCATCTCCTCACCCAATCAAATGTATGATTCAATGTAATGAGACCTCACTTCACAAAAATAGTTGGACAAATAAGTCAAAATTTCTGTGTGTAACAATTTGGCACTGACACTTTTTTATAGAAAGAATATGACATAGATATATGAGCTTCCCTATCTTTATGTCAGCATTAGTCACAAAACATAGGAATCAATCAACTTATCAACTTCTTTATCATAAAGTGCAAAATTAAAACAACAGAGCACACAGACAGTAGAAAATGACTCAGCCATAACAAAGAAAAGGAACGTGAAGTAAGCTTTATGCCATTCAACTAAGAGACATGGGACAGGTGTAGAAAAGCAAATGTCCCATCCACATGTAGGTACAACCTAAAATAGTTACAATGACTGAATAAACCAATAATAATCATTAAAAGAGAGAATAAAATGGGGCATAGAAGAGATGCTTGGTGGAGCACAGGCTTTTCATAGGACCTAAAATGCCAGTAGACAGGATAACTTCAAGAGATCTCTTGAACTGAGGTATAAGTATAGGTAAAAACAATAAATTTCACACTTTAAAGTGCAAAGATGGGAAAAATATTTGCAAAACATATATAGACAATATAGACATTCTTTCATAGCCTGTGACTGAAGGACAAGCCATAGAATGACAAAATAGGCAAAATGTGCAAGATTATTATCCCTAGAAAATATGTAAGTTATAAAAGAGCATATGTAAAGATTCTCCATTAGTCAAGAATGCAAACCAGAAGCCCCAAGGGACACCAACTTCTATCCAATGGCAGGTTTTATGTCTGTTAAAACTGAAAACAATCAATTTGAGAGAATTTATGTATCTTCATGTAATAGGCTGTATAATGGGAAAGTGACTCTGGAAAAAATAGATGGCTTTTCCTGAAACAAATAGATAAAAAAATAACCCATCAATTTCATTTATATGCATACATATAAATGATGAATATAATGAATATAATCAGGCAAGCAGTGTTTAATGACAGTACTGTCTTTTTTTTGGGTGCTGGTCTTGGGGCTTGAACTCTGGATCCGGGCATTGTCCCTGATTTTTTTTTTTTGTTCAATGCTGGTGCTCTACCATTTAAGCCACAGCCCCTCATCCAGCATTTTTGGTGATTAATTGGAGATGAGAGTCTTGATGGCTTTTGTGCCCAGACTATCTTTCAACTAGAAATCTCAGATCTTAGCCTTCTGAATAACTAGGATTACAAGCATGAGCCTCTGGCACCTGGCAAGATAGTACTTTCTTGTGAGAAAGGCAATGACAGCAGATTTCATTGCTGTGTGGGCAAAATAGCTCATATTTTAATAATTTCAGATGGATATGACTTGTAATATAATCTTATATAAC